CCTTCTTTTCTGTTCCCTTCTCTTTCTGACTCTTTCTCTTCCTTTCTTTTTATATTAAAGTATTTCCTTTTCCCTTTGAAATGCCCTCTCTGTGTTAAGCAGGACAGCTTGCGTGTGGCGGCAGCAAGGTGGCATCCAGAGCTGAGACCTCTGTCCTGGCACAGTTTGGCAGTCCTTTCAAAAGGCTCTTCTTCCTGGGCTCCTCACCACCCAGGCAACTCAGGGACCGGGTCTCCCTTCTCCCCGGGAACCCTGAAGGAACTGGATCCTCTCTCCAATCTTAGTTTCCTGTTTCTAAAATGGGCTGGGGGAGAGGGTCTCCGAAGGGGAAATATGGACATTTGTGTGTGCATGCGTGTGTGTGTGTGTGTGTGCACCTCATGTGTCTCCTAGAAGCAGCCCTTGGGGGTAAATGTGAAAGGTAATTAGCACCAGGATGAAAGGTGCTGTGAGATAATTACAGGTAACATATCAGGACTGCTGGGAAGGTGGGGCAGGAGGCCCCTAGACCTCTGGGGGGGTGTGGGTAGCTCTAGCCCCACTCCTGCACTGAAATCAGACACCTGGAGAGGCGAGGGGGTGGGAGAGGGAGCATTCTGAGCGAAGGGTCTTTGTCGTTACAGGGAAATGCTTGTTAGTTGCTAAGGAACTGAGTTATCTCTCCTGATCCAAGCCACCCAATGTTTTGCCAAGCTTGGGAGTGGGATACTGGGCTGGGGCTTGGTCCTTTCATGGGTCTCTTGGGAAGGACTGTCATCTGGGGAGAGTGACTCTCCAATTACTAAGCTGGGGAGCAGAACAGGTGCGGTGGAGGTAGGCAAGGAGAGGAAAACCTGCATTTACGAGCAGCCTGAATGCTAGGCGATACGCCTGGGTGTCACCCGTGTTATCTCATTTAACCATTGCAACAGATCTTTAAGGAAGGCACTTCCACTTTTTAAAATTTTACTATTCTTTGCAGTTGAAACACAGATCCAAACAGTTAAGTTGCCTGAGGTTACAGGACTATCAGGTAGCAGAGATTCTATGTGAATTCAGGAATACCAGGTAATACAACTTGTGCTTTTTAAAATTTTTTTTTTATTAAGGTGTTCCTGGAGTCCTATTTTATTTTATATTTTTTAAAAATATGTTTTTAAAAATTTGATTTGAGAGAGAGGGGAAAGGAGAAAGATAGAGAGATAGAAATATCAGTGAAAGAGAAAATCATCAATTGGCTGCTTCCTGCATGCCCACCCTCCCCCACAACAGGGATCGAGCCCAAAACCCTGGCATGTGCTCTGACCGGGAATCAAACCAGTGACCTCTTGGTTCATGGGTCGATGCTCAACCACTGACCACTACTGGCTGGACAAAAAATTGTGCTTTTAAAACTACACCACCTAATGCATTTACCAGGCTTTCTTCCTACGCCAGGGCTGCTCAGCCCTGATACTGGCACCCACCACTGCCATTACCACCACCACCACCATCATCATCACCACCATCACTGCCACCATCAGGAAGTTTTCCTATATGGTTCCCCCTCCTTCCTCACCCCTCTTCCTTTCCTAAGAACAGTTATCACACAGGAGGGAGGGGTTAGTTCTGTGAGTTGAGGATGGTAAACTGTTGGGTAGTTGCCTTGGGCAGGTGGGGTGGGAGGATGATAATGACCTTGAGGCCATTGCTGTGAGTGTCCAGGAGCTGGGCCTCCCCATAAGTCACACTTGGTTGAGAATAGCTTCAACTTGGGGGGAGGGAAGATGCTTGGGGGGAATCACCCCTTAAATTCTTCTGTAACTTCCAGCCTTCCCTCTTGGCCCAACTGGCTTCTGAATGAATGAAAGGTCTGCCTTTATTTTATGTAGCCCAGAGAGTAAAATTCCAGTCCTCTGGGCCTCTGAGCACTGAGTGAGAAGGCTTGAGTTAACTTCAGATTTCCTCATCACTAGTTACAGAGCCGGGAGTAGGTGCCTTAACTTACTAGAATGTCAGTTTCCTCATCTAGAAAAGGAGAATAGCAATACCTACATTATTAGGTGTCGTGACAATCGAATGAGAGAATGTGTATGAAGGCCCATGGGCTGTGGAATTGTGCAGGAATGCATTAAATGGAGTGCCACATGTTGGGCATTTGGCACAGTTCCTGGTATGCAGAAGATGCCCAACAAATGGTATCTGATGATGATGGTGACAAAAGTATCAGTTCAGGGGTCACGAATGTCCCTTATGAATTTTCGTAGCTGCTTCATTAGAGATCTCTGAGAAATCTCCATGTTCATTTTGTTTCTGATGGGAGGAGGCAGTGAAAAGGGACAGGGGCCCCAAAGTGTTGTGCAGGCAGAGAGCTGAGTCAAGGGTGGGTTTCCCCGAGGTCTCTTGGCCTCCAGGTTTTCTCTCCCTGCCACTGAGTGAGAAGGTTTCCCAGACTGTCTGCTAGGCTGTCTTTAGCCTATAGTCTGGGCCATCTTTGTTCTTTTACAGAAGATCTCTCCTATAGCTGAACTAAAAGCCCAAAAAAACCAGGGGAAAAGAAGGGATGGGGAGGGGGAGAGGGGAGGAAGGAAAGCAAGCCGATAATTTCCTCGAAGGATAAACATCCGATTTTTTTTTTCCCTCACCCAAAATAAACATGCTAGCCGCAAAGAATTAAAAGCAGAAGAGGGGAGGATGTGTCTCGATCTGGGGCTGCTCTAGGAAGCCGACCTGCTATTTATCCCAGCCTTGGGCCCCAACAGGAGCTGCCAATTACACTCTGGGCCTGTGGGGTGGGGGCTGCGGGGAGTGTGAGGTTCATATAGACCCAGAAAGTCCCTTCTGAGGCTGCCTTCCATGACACTGCAAATGGACACTTCCTTGTGCTTCTGCTTTTAGCTTTGCTGACAAGCTTGTCTGGTGGGTAGAAGGGAGTAGGGAGTTTCTACTGCCTGGGCTGGCATCAATGGATCTTCTGCAGAACGAGAACTTGGTGTCCACCACCTAGGCAGGGCGTTGAATTTATCAATGAAGGGGGAAACATGTCCACTTCCCTCCCAATTCACACATGCAGTCTCCCAGCCCATTGTGCTCTTCAGATCTCACCATGAAAATCTTCCAGCGACTTAGGAGTGTGCTTAGCCTGGCTGAGGGGTGGCCAGGGCGCCTCTGCCTTCCTGATAATGTGGGCCCTGGATCTAAGAGGGTAATAACGGGGTGCCCGGCTGCAGCCTGCCCCTTTCATCTGGGGAGCTCAAGGCACTGTGCACACCTGAGTCATAGCATTGCATATTTTAGCCAAGGAGTGTGTGTGTGTGTGTGGGGGGGGGGCGTTGGGGGAGGGCGTTAACTCTTGGAGGGAAACTGAGCAGAGATTGAGGGGCTGAGAGGACTGGAGTTGGGAGTGGGGTAGTTGAGGTACCAGGGTTCAGGGTATGAATGAGACCATAGCTCAGAGGTGCTTCCAAGGGGTCCTTGGTGGGGAAGCCAAGAGACATTCAGGGGACGTCCAGGGCAGATAGTCACTGAAAATCCTTTCTTTGCAGAAACTAAGGAGTTTCTTTATACTTTCTAAAAGCATATAATAGATTATGCCCCCTCTTGCCCTCTAATCTATTTATCATTTCACTAGAGGCCCGGTGCATGAAATTCCTGCACGGGTGCAGTCCCTAGGCTTGGCTGGTGATTGAAGTGTGAGCATCTGGCATGGAAGGGCAGGTCCCAGCTGACCTCTGGGTCCTGGGCAGCACCTGGGCCCTTGGCCGCAGAGCCCCCACACGCCCCCCTCTGCCTGAGTCATAGCACCTGAGTTCCCACATGGGCAGCGTGCTCTCTCCCAGTGGCCTCACAGACTGGCTCCTGCATGAACCCACGGGAAGCCCGACCAGCCCCTGTGGTCCAGCAGCTGCCACCTGGTTCACCCAGAAGACGCTGCGCAGGTACAGGGCAGACTCCTGGCAGGTGCCTGGCACCATGGGGGAGGGAGGCTGCCCTGGTGCCCTGGTTTGTATGAGCCCTGGCGTCCCGGGGGAGGGTAGCAGGGAAAGTGAGAGTAAGCTCAGAGGACACCCTATATTCTCACTGCACCTCAATCCTCATCACCTCCGCCCCCAGGTAGCCAGCGAGAGGTCGCAGGCCCACGTCATAGCGAACAGTCAAACTCCCGGACTCCCAGTCTCCCGGTCGAACTCCTAGTCGAACAACCACCAAGGGGAGAATTTGCATACTAGGCTTTTATTATATAGGATGATTTCCTCTTGCTTTCAGGGGAAAATCCAAAACTTTAGCATGGTTGTAAGGCCTGGCATGTTCTGGTCATTGCCCACCTGTCCCAGTGGCCACACCACTGGCCTTCATTTCCTGGAAGATGCCATTCATGTCCCTGCTCACCATGGGAGCCCAGAGGTGTTCCCTCTCTTTGCCATGCTGGTCACCCATGTGCCTACTCACAGTGAATCTCTACCCTGCTTTTCAGCCATGAAGTCAAATATCACTTCTTCTGAGAGGCCTTGCCCGACCCTCCCCCTCCATCATAAAGCAAGTCCCCTTTGCACCCTCAGAGCATTTGTCACATTTGCTATAATTTGCTTGTGGTCATCTGATGCAACTTCCTCTCCCCTACTGGATGGTAAGCCCCTGTTTTGTCTGCCATGTTCACACTTGGATCCCCAGCACCTACCAGAAGGTCAGGCATGTAGTAGGTACTGACAGTAGTTGTTGAATGAATGGTGTTGAATGTTGGAGCTGGAAAGGACCCCGGAGATAAACCAGCTGCCCCTCCCTCCTCTTCCTACCTCAACTTTACCGAGGAAGCAACACTTTAGAGAGGGTGAGCGATTTTCTCCAGGTCACTCAGTGCGCCTCATGAAGGTTCATGGCTGGGGATCTCCACCTCCTGCCTGTCCAGCTATCCCTGCCACAGTCCCCTCCGCACTTGCATTTATAAGCCTCAGTGCTGGACACCGATTGAGTTCCTGTCCTGGGTGTTTGAAGGAGGACAGGCTAGAAAGCAAAACGTCCAACCAGTGATCCCTGGACAATTCTTTTTTTTAATTTGGAAGAGCAGGGGTTTCATACCCAGCGGGGATTCCACATCCAGACTATAGGTGGTGGGCAATGTGGACACACACCGGTAAGGCGAGGCCTGAGGTCTTGAGTTGGTCTTTGGGCTTACTGCTTCCTCGGACGGGAACATCGGCATCTGGTGAGTCCTTGTGATTTTGGGTCATGAACTGGGTGCTTGCTTCAGGTTCAGTCAGCTGGAAGCGACTCAGAAATTTATCCATATCCCAAAAGCCTGGAAGGACAAACAGACCACAGGGAGGCCATGAGAGAGAACCATGGACTTGAGAGCTGGCAGGGGTGAGAGAGAGGCCAGTTCTGGGGGAGTGGAGACAGCAGGAGATGCCCTTGGTCATTGGTCTGAGCACCTGGGGTGCCCCTGGCTCCAACTGCAGGACACCCCTGGATGTTAGCAGAGCACCTAGGAAGGGGCTGTTCCCCAGAAAGCATCGGGGACATGAATCTGGACTGAGTCAAGAGCAGCCTTTAGCCTCATCCCCAGAGCCCTTTATTTAGCATAATTCTGCTGCCTCAGTCACATGCTAAAAGGAAACACCCAATCAGGTTGTCAGCACACTTCCCTACCCACCCTCCTTTCCTGCAGGCCTTCTTGACCTTATGACTGAAGCCTTAAAGCTTCTTTCCTTCACACCTGGTCACCCCAGCTGCTGGGGTTGAGATTGGCGGAAGTGCTCGTGCCATTCATTTAATCTCTTCCCCAGAACCCCAACCACCGCCTCAGAGACTGTGCAGCGGGGTTTCTTTCCTGGCTGTGGCAGAGGTCAAGGGGCGGGGGATATGGCCAGGACCCTTTCTCTCTGCTCCTGAGCACCTGGATCCTGGAGGGGAGCTGCGTGTGGGTGAGGTGTACCCAGGCTGGAGTCTGGAGAAGCCCAGTCTGTGCTCAGGTCTGAGGGGCCCCCTCAAGGGGAGAAAGCACAGGGGCATCGAGGGAGGTGGATCTTCTGGGGCAAGTGTGAACAGGCCCAGTAACAGGGCAGGGAGGACATAGCCCTGGGCACTGGGGAGAGGCTGAGGGAAGTGGTCAGAGGCATATTCCCACGCTCTTGTTTCCCAAAGTTTGGGCCTCAGGCACCCTTGGCAGCTGGTTGCCAGAGAAAATACGGGACACTTAGTTCAATTGGCATTTCAGGTAAACAACAAATAATTTGTTAGTGTATGTTTCACATATTGCATGGAGCATCTTTATAGTAAAAACTTATTCCTCGTTCATCTAAAATTCAAATTGAACTGGGCTTTCTGTATTTCCTTCTCTCTCTCTCTTTTAATCCTCACCCAAGGATATGTTTTTATTGGAGAGAGAGAGAGAGAGAGAGAGAGGGAGGGAGAGAGAGAAAGAGAGAAACTTCAATTGGTTGCCTCCCGTATTCAATCCCTGACCAGGGATTGAACCTACAACCTAGGTATGTGCCATGACCAGAAATCCAACCACAACCTTTTGGTGTGTGGGACGACTCTCCAACTGAGCCATCAGGCCAGGGCTTTCTTTTCTCTCTCTCTCTCTCTTTTTTTTTTTTTTTTTTTGCTAAATTCAGTAACCTTCCCTGGGCGGAGGGAGTGCTCCGGGAAGACTTTGTCCAGAGCAGAGCTAGGCAGTGGCGGGTATAAGACAGTGGCAGGTATAAGGCAGTGGCGGGTACGACCTGGATCAATGGAGGACAGTAATGCACAGAGAGAACAGGTGAGCAGCTGGCATCCTGGAATGACTCAATGACTCTCAGAGTTGCCCATTTACCACCGGTGGCTCTCTGTCTGCACCCACCTCCTGCTAGTGTCCCATACTCCATCTACCTTCCCTCCCTGCAGGGGCTGTTTGCATTTCAAAGATGTTCTCAAGGGGGGGACATTTTTCATTCAAAGAAACAAAATAAAAATAATAATAATGATAATGCCAAAAAATAATAGTAAAACACTAATATAGTATTTTCTTTTTTAAAAAATATGTTTTTATTAATTTTAGAGAGAGAGGAACATCGATTGGTTGCCTCCCAGATGCACCCTGACCAGGGATCAAACCCATGGGTATGTGCCCTGACTGGGAATCAGACCGGAGCCCTTTCGGACGACACTCACCCAACTGAACCACACTGGCCAGGGCTGATAGAGTGCTTTCCATATGCCAGGTACAGTTCTAGGGACTCCATGTACATTCATTCAATTAATCCTCACAAGGGAGACTATTTTTTATCCCTAGTGCATAGATGGAGTTCTGGTGAGGTTGCTTCTTAGTGGTAAAGGGGAAAAGGGCCTCTTTAGGTTCACCCAAATTTTATTGGGCTCAGTGACTGTGTTCAGATTGGGCTGGAAAGCAGCGGTTTCAGGAGTTCTCTTGGGACAAGGGTGGCTGGGCCCTGGAGAGAGCCTCTCCTATCAGATGGGCTGCCGCTGGGCTGAGAGGTATGTAACTGACCCCGTGGGTCTTCCACTAGGAGGCCTGGCCAGGCCTTTACACGCAGGGAGCCTGGCTGGCTGGAAAAATATTGTGGTTCATGATCCTGGGAAAGTGTGTGCATGTGGGTGCACATGTGTGTGCATGTGTGGATGCATATGTGTGTGCATGTTCACGCCAGGTGAAGGGCTTTGGGTGAACTGGTGTGTGGCAGGCATGGGGACAAGCGGGCCTTCCCCACTGAGCAGGGCAGGAAGGAACCGGGGTAGCAAGGAGGGAATTGAAACTCATCACGAGATCAGGGCAATGGCAGAAAGAAATCCCCTGTGCCCTGAGGGAGACCTGGCTTCCCGCTCCAGCAGTGCGCCCTCCCCTAGCTCCGATGGCTTCCTTGATGGCGTTCAGAGCGCCTTGGCAGCCTCGTAGCTCCTTCCTTGTCCCACTTCCGACAGCCCTGTGGTCTTGGGCTTCGTGGGCAGCTCCTCAGACCTGCCCTCTGTCCCTCAGGAGGCTGCTGGCCTCCCGCTGCCTCCTCCCCTGGCTTGGCGGTGACTCCTTACACCCCCATTTCCTGCCACAAAGGGCAAGAGGAACTGACCCAGTGCAAGTTGTAGAAGGCATGGGGGTGAGTCAGGCCCTCAGGGGTGTGTGGAGAGAGACTGGGAGCTTGCAGGCTGTGGCTTCCATGTCACTGCATGGAGGAAAGCCCCATCCTGTATGGCACTGCTGGTCCCGGGCTGCAGGGGCCACTGCCACGCAGGAAGAGTGCTGCTGCTGTCTGAGGTCTGACCACTGCCCATGTGCCCTGGACCCACCCAGGATGGGCTCTTCTAGGGACGGGGCATGAGTGGGGAGTGCACTTCAGAGGCCTTCGGCTACAGGGAGAAAGAGCCAGGGTGTCTGATGCCTGTCTCCTGAGCCACCCAGGGACTGGGACACAGAGGTCTGGTCTCCTTAGGGTGGGGCTGCCACATATGATGAGCAGGTGGGTCCCTACATAACCTTAGGGAGCATCGTTTCCATCTTGCAAAATCAGACTCAAGCATCGTCTCACCTACTGGTTTTAGAGAGAGAGGAACATTTATCCAGGCCCATTCCGGCCCTTGTTGAGTTGCTAAGACAGTTAGCACTGGACTAATAAGCTACACCTTCAAAGGGTGGCCTCGGCCAGCAGTTCAAAGTGCCCCACCCCCCACCAATTCCAGCTGATGAGGTCCCATCCCTAGCAGCACCCCTAGAGTCTCTCCAGCAGGCCCACTCTTAAGACTTCCTAACAGCATAGGAAAAAGAGTTCCCTGCGTGTCCTTGCTCTAGCCAAGGGACATTCCCCACCTGAACTGTCATTTGGTCCTTAGTAGGCCATCAAGTGTCCCCCTCTCAGCCTGGGAAGTGGGAGTTGGGAAGCCCTCACTGGGAGGCAGGCCCCCATTCAGGCTGTAGAACAGGGGGCAGGGTACTGAGCCTTGGGGTCACCTCCTCTGAACCACCATGTGAGCTGCCTGAGCCTCTCTTGGGCCCTGGGGTGCCTGGCTCAGAGCCTCCCCGTCACCGCAGGTGGGTGAGCTGTGTCTGACCAAGGTGGCCACTCTCCTCCCTGGCCTGCCCGTATTCTCCCCCTGGGCAGGGGCACCACTGCTTCTTGTCAGGGGAAAACACAAAACTTGACCGCCAGCCTAGTCACCGCCACCCTGAGCGCAGATTCACCCGCAATTTGTCTGGCTCTCCGCGGGGCTGGCTGCGGTGATAGGAGCGCTGATCCTTTCTGCTGAGATTAATGATGTCCTGGCGGTGGTGGGCGGGAGGCCTGAGCCTTTTATTTTTGCGCCGTTAAATGACATCCAGAGACTTCCCCTCAGGAGCTGAAAAGCCCATGTTCCATCGCATCCAATTACTCCTGGGGAATATTTGCTGAGTGCTGATCCTGCGGGCTCGAGAGGCTCAGGGCAGGGGGGACCACTTTGACTTTGGCGGGAGTGAGAGGGTGGGGATGCCGGGGGAGTTCCTGAGTGGGGAGGAGTGACCCCGGCTCCTCTGGAGAACTGCAGTTCCTGATGACCAGTAGGTGGATCACCCTCCTCTCTGGTCCCTGTGGCTGGTGGCGGCGGGGCCGGGAGTGAGAGGAGTGGAGGCTTGCAGCTGTCAGCTTCGCTCCCAGTGATCAATTCCAGTATTTGGTGGTAGTGTTGGCCAGCTGGGATTTGGGGCAAAATGTGGTGATGCTCTGTGGTTTCCCTGTGGACGATGTGTTCAGTATTGCTTTGGACGGTTGATGTCTGGCTCGACTGCGGCCTGCATCTTGACGAGGGCTGCGTGGGCCCTGTGGAGCATGCAGGGTTCCCAGTCAGTGGGCCTGCCCGAGAGCTGCCCAGGATGGCTCCATCTGAGTTGCTGCCAGGTCCCCAGTCCTACCAGCTCTGCCAGGTGGGCGGGGCTCTTTGGAGCAGAAGAGGGCTGCCTGACACAAGCCCACACGGTGACTCAGGGGCTGGCCCTGGGGGGTTCTGGGGCCTGGCCAGGTGAACCACCATGGGAGGTCATGGCGGGGAGTGGGGGCTGTTTTGCAGTGGGCCGTGTGTTTGTGTCTGTCTGTGTGTGTGTTTGGGGCTGGTCTCCGGGCAGGCCCCCTTCCCTCCACCTTTGCCTGCACTGGCTGCTTTTCCCTCACTGTGCCGGCCTTTGTCCCTCTACACCAGGCCACCTCCTGTGAGCTGCTTGGAGCTCTGCTGCCTTTCATGCCCTTGGTCTGTGCTGTCAAACATTTCCACGTAGCATCCCTCGTCTGAATTGCCCACGGCGTCCCAGTGGCCTTTAGGTGCCACAAGCAA